GGTCTCCAAAAATTGATGAGATAATTACGAAAAAATTCTGCTATGACACCTGCAGGATTTGATGGCAATATTTTGACTTACAGAGAAGGTGGTATTCAAAAAGATGTTTGGTGCTTAATTGCTGCCTCAGAATTCTTAAATTTTACAGACAAGTCTTTACCAAAATTTGTTGGCAAGAGCTGTAAGGAGGGGTCTTGCTATCGCTTATGAGCCTGTGTCCAATGTCCTTACGTTTTAATCACTGGAAATGTAAAAGTTAAATGGATAGATGATAGATATGTTGTAACATGTAACAATCGTAACCTAACCAATTGTATTAGTAGATATAATAGAGGAAAAGGAGTGCTGGTACTTCATCAGCCCTCTTTGTTTTATTGCCTACTAATATTTCAGAGCCATAGTACACTGATGCTGGTTTTCAGGTCTTACAGCAAATTCATACCCAGCTAGGGAGACCTAGATGTGCCATTGGAATTATAATTGTGGGAGTTGTGGCTTTGGTTTCTTTCATTGCATCCACTTTCACAGCCTAGATAACTTTATCTCAAAATATTCAACATGCAAAATTTCTTAATAATTTAGCCCAAAATACTTCCAAGGCTCTGCGTAATCAAGTAAATATTGATGAAAGGATTGAGACTAATTTAAACGCCTGAGAGGCGACTGTTATAAATATAGGCAATGAACTTTAGGTTTTAAAGTTTAAAGAAAGGCTTAAATACCACGCAAGTTATAAATATGTGTGTGTTATAGCTGCCAAGTACAATGCTTCTCTCTGGGATTGGGAAAAGGTTAAGAACCATTTGCTAGGTATTTGGCATAATAATAATAATAGCTTGGATCTTTTGGAACTCCATCATCATATCCAAGATATTCAAAATAAAGAGCTGATTTTTTCCGATCCTTCTTCTTTGGCTAATCAAATATTGAAGGAATTAAATGGATTTAACCCTGGAGATATTCTTAAACACTCATCCTGGTACATTATTGGATTATTCTCTTTGCTGTTAATTATTTTTTGTGTTGTAATTATAGGATGCCGACCCTTCAGAACAACAGTGCAGAGACTCGAGAGAGTAAATCATTGCCTGCTTTTTAAAAGAAAAAAGGGGGAATATGTGGGAGGCCATCCTCACGTGTGATTTGAGTTATCTCCCTGGCTGGGTGAGAGGCACTTAGACACAGCTGTGTCAGAGCTATTCCCCACCCTTTTCCAGGTCCAAGGGCTTGTCCGTGCAGAGGAGTGCCTGACCACTGCCCTGAAGACCCAATCATCGCCCCTGACCTTGGGATACTGCCCCCCTTAACCTTCATTGGATGGGA